GAAAGATAACTTTAAGTGAAAAGAATACATTAAAAATTCCACTGTTGGGCAGTGCCTGTGGATAAGTGGGCAGGGCACTGGTTCCATATACCGAGGATGGCAGATTCAAACCCGGCCCTGGGCAAACTGCAACAAAAAAATAGCCAGGTGTTGTGGCGGGCACCTGTAGTCCCAGCTACTTGGAAGGCTGAGGCAAGGGAATTGCATAAGCCCAAGAGTTGGAGGTTGCTGTGAGCTGTGTGACACCACAGCACTCTACTGTGGGTGATAAAGTGAAACTGTCTCTACAAAAGAAAAAAAATCCACTGTTACTAGGATTACAAGTAAAGAATGTCTATGAATATATATATAAGGAACACAAGGGAACACAGAAAAATTACATTGGCTGGGCACAGTGGCTCATGTAACCCTAGCACTTTGGGAGGCTCAGTCGGGAGGATCACTTGAGGCCAGACCCCTGTCTCTACAAAAAAATAGAATATAGTCCCAGCTACTTGGGAGGCTGAGGCAGACGAATTGCCTAAGCCCAGGAGTTGGACGTTGCTGGAGTGACTCCGCTGCACTCTACCAAGGGCGAAAAAGTGAGACTCTGTCTCTACAAAAAAAAAAAAAAAAAAAGAATATTATCTGGGCATGATGGTGTACACCTATAGTCTCAGATACTCTTGAGCAGGCATCCTCAAACTACAGCCCGTGGGCCACATGGGGTTTGCTGAGGACATTTATCTGGCTCACCAGGTGTTTTTGTCACTGCTGCCTATCCTGCTTAGCAGCTGACTTGTCCCAGGGCCTGCAGTCCGGCCCTCCAACGGTCTAAGGGACAGTGAACTGGCCCCCTGTTTAAAAAGTTTGAGGATCCCTGCCCTTGGGCCTGAGGCAGGAGGATCACTTGAGCTCAGGAGTGTGTTTGTGGTGAGCTTTGTTGATGCCACTACATTCTATCCTAGAAGACAAAGCAAGACTCTGTCTCCAAAAGAAAGAAAAAAAGTTACATGTTAGGGAGGTAGAATTATATGTCTCTTATTCTGTTTTTCAAAACACTATTATAATTATAGGCAATAGAGTAAAAATAAGAGGGACTAATGAAATCTTTAAAAAAACGCACAAAATCGGGTAGCACCTGTGACTCAAAGGAGTAGGGCACTGGCCCCATGTATACTGGAGGTGTCAGGTTCAAGCCCAGCCTCAGCCAAAAACTGCAAAAATAAATAAATAAAAATAAAATCTTAGAAATCCCCCCCCCCAATTCAGACCTATTAAATACTCTTATTTTACCTCAGTTTCTGACTTCATCCCTCTCTACTTTCCAGTACTGCTCCAGCTAGACTGTGTATGGTCCCTCCATATCCCTTCTATGCCTTTGCTTCTATCTCCTATTCTTTCTGCTGGTGTAAATTCCATGCTTTTCCTCACAGCTTGAGAATGATTCCTTTCCTCCAAGAAATCTTTAGTAATTAATCCCATGCAACAGTGACCCTGCCCTTCACCTCAACACCTTTCTCACTATTAAGATATGACCTGGGCTCGGCGCCTATAGCTCAACCGGCTAAGGCGCCAGCCACGTACACCTAAGGTGGCGGGTT